CAGCTGGCGCGCCGCGTCCCGGCCAGCGCCGGCGGTTCCCCGCCGCTGTCCGGCAGCGCCAACGTCTACATCAGGATACTGGACGTGAACGATAACGCACCGTCCGTCGTTCAGCCGGTTCTCAATAACGGTTCGGCCGAGATCCTCCTGTCCCGGGACGCCACGGCCGGCACGGTTGTCACGCGCGTGGAGGCACGGGACGTGGACGAAGGCGTGAACTCTGATCTGTCCTACGCGCTGACGTCAACATCTGACCCCGGCGTGTTCGCCATAAACAAAGTCACAGGAGAAATCCACCTGAACCAGGCACTTGGCCAAACGGTGGACGAGACTCTGACCGTCACCGTAACGGTGAGCGACAACGGAAGACCCTCGCTCTCTTCCAGCGCCATCCTCTACTTCGTAGTCATCGAGGGCCCCCCGCCCAGCGTCAGGACCGTGTACCAGTCCGGCACCGGCGAGGACGTGGACGTCGAAGCGCAGTGGGACCTGTCCGTAGTTATCATCGTGGTCCTGGCCGGAAGCTGTACCCTCCTGCTGCTCGCCATCATCCTCATCGCCACCACCTGCAACCGGCACAAGCAGAGCACCAAGGACGCAGAGGACGGCGACTCGTACGAAGGAAGACGAACCACGCACCTGGGCAGGAGCCACGCGGTGGACAACCCGCTGCTTTCCCTCCAGGGGGCCTCGGAAGCGGGAGGGGTGGGCGTCGACGGGTTCGATGGACACTCGTCCTACAGCGGCCACGCGGGGGAGTTCTGTTCGGCTCACCCGGGGGGCAGTGACATGTGCTCAGCCTCGGAGGACGGCAGCGAGGTGCCGTGCGTTTACGACTCCGACAGCAACAGCAACGTCCGCGGCAACAAACATGAGGTAAGAATGAACCCGGATCTTATTTTGTGTGATGGCAGGAGACACACAGGTGATTAACCAGGTTTCTGCTTGTCTTCCATCCCCTGCAGGAATACTCCACTCTGCCCGGCTACGGGAATGTGAAGGAGGCCGTGAGACCCATCACTATCTGGAAAGGCAATTCATACACCACCATCTCTGCCAGGGATCCGGTGTTCAGTGGCAAAGACAGCGGCAAGGGAGACAGTGACTTTAATGACAGTGACAGTGACGTCAGTGGAGAAACAGGCCTGAAGAGAGACATGGGGACTGTCCCTGAAGCCAGTGGACAAAATGGTAAAAAAAAAAAAAAAAATCCTTAATACACATAATGGATACTACATTTAGATATTTTAGGTCATAAAGATTTGAGAATTGGATGGGAATTTATTGCATTATTTAATACATCCGACGCACTACAGATGCCTTTTGGGGGAAACGCGACGAAAGTAAATCAAAATCCATGCCGAAAGTGCAGCAACAGAAAGTTGCTACTGTTAAAAAAAAAACGCGCCGAAAGTAAATCAAAATCCAACAGAAAGTTGCTACTGTAAAAAAAATAGGACCAAAACTAAAGGACGTATTTAAAAAGTGAGATTTGAAATACAACAATAATAATAAAAAAAAAGCCGACTCAGCCTTTTTACAACTACTTTGCACATTTTTCCAGCATCCCAAGATGCGCTGTTTAGAGATTCGATCAAAGTTAATGACATGGGGGGTGGGGGTCACGTGATGCTACATCTACCTGTGCTTGACCTTTTCTCTCTATCTCTTCTACAGCTCTGTGGGCCTGCACCAGTGAATGTAAGATCCTCGGACACTCAGACCGCTGCTGGAGCCCGTCAGCAGTGAGAGCCAACGCAGCTCCATCTCCGGCTCCGGCTCTAACCCTGTCTTCCTTCGGCACCCTCCCAAAGACCGCTTCTTTACCCCGGGATCCGAGCCGCAGAGAGAACTACTACCAGGCCCACATACCTAAAACGGTGGGTCTCCAGAGCGTGTACGAGAAGGTGCTTCACCGGGAGTACGACTACGTCATGGTCACCCCGCCCAGACCGGCGAGGATGGAAGAGATCGGTGAGGTCGCCATCCCCGTTTACACTCCCTCCCCTTCGCGTCGCTCCAACACCGAGGCCTGAAAACGGGTTTCAGACCTGGAATGGCGGGACTATGGGGTTTGTTCGCATACTGTACATGAGGTCTACATTTACAAATTGCAAATATAGGCCAAAGACAATTATATATATATATACATATCGGCCCTGGCAAAGATTGTTGGCACTTTGGCAACCCACTCCCTTTAGGCCACACTATTGCTAATTGTCAAATGCCAAAACTACTTTAATATATACACAAAGGATAGTTGAGCCACCTTTTTGTATTTTTACACGCGCCCCACTTCGTGTTCACACTGAGACGTTTTCAACGTGGGCCCCATGTTGATGAATGCCAAGAAGAAATTGTAAAGCATATTTTCCAGTATTTTAAGTTATGATCTAATGACACACACACACACAGAGTAATGTATGGAATCATGTTATGCATTTATATCCAGAATATTTGTAATTTTTGTCTTTGTCTATTCGGCTGAACACGATACATGTATTATAAAACCAGATTTGTACATAAAAGAGATTTTATTTTTTTATAAATTAATAATAACCGCGCTAAATACGTGTAAATACGAATTGTAATCGTGATTCGCGATCATTATGCATGCTATTTAAAAATGGGCTTTCAGGGGTTACTGACTGAAATGTATTAATCTGATTAAACAATTGAAATGCAATAATGTCACTTCACCGGTTTGCAATTTGTTTTTCTTTTTTGATAATACGACATTCTCAGATGAAAATAAACTTTGAAATACTGTTGGAGATTGAAAACTGGTTTGTTGGGAGTTTGAGAGGGACGGTATTTTACTGAACATTTTACAGGATTTCCCCCCCCCCCATCCATCATTCACTTAAGTCAGTCCAGACCAAAATAGGCAGTGTAGTAAAAAAGCCAACAGGCGTCGCTGTTATTGCAGCAAGCAGCCTCTGTCCTTGCAGCAGGCTGGGGAAGGTCACGGAAGTTTGTTCCCGTCTCTTTTGTGAATAGGAATTTGTTGGTGAGGTGCCAGAGCAGGAGCCAAGGTTTTCTAACAAAATGACTCAGATGTGAGAGAGGTGAAAAAGCTTTTTTGGGGAGGGGGGAAAAGCGGGGGGGTGATTTTATTCCTCCCTGTGAGTCACAGATGCATACCACCAAAAAAAATGAAACCTCTTCCCTATCCCTGTAAACAATTTCTTTACGATTTTGTGCACAAGAACGTCCTTGCGAGGAATAAACCTCCCTGCTGTATCCTGTCACAATGTTTTCTTGTCAACGTGCCAAATGAACAGTGAGCATTCCTGACACCACCTCCTCAGCCTTTTAAGCAAAGACAGAGGGCAAAGACATAATCATGGAGGGACACAAGTTGCAAATCTGCAGCACTACTCATTTGCGGGGGCAAAAAAACACTGACACCATATACAGTATATATATATATTATATAATTATAAGATGGATTACTTTGCAAATGCATAGATTTTTGTTTCAGACATTTATAATCACAGACTCCAAAAGAGAGGACAGGGAAGAAAGAGAGAGCAGGAGCAGACAGTCACACAAGTCAAGTCACACATCCAAATCTGCCACTGGTTTGTTTTTAATCAACTATAGATGGTTTTCCGATAATCGTTATTACCCATGACGCATGGCGCCGGTGGCCATGTTGTGCGGCAAAAGACGTGAACAGGTAGACGTAAACAATCGATAATGACAACAAAAGACAAGAATATTTCATCGCCGGAGGTCGATCGGACGAAATTGTTGTATAGAGATTAACTGGACACAATTACAAAAGTAAGATACTTGGACAAGTTGAAAATAATGGATGGAAAAGACCCATATGAAGTCAACAAAGCTAGGTAAAGCGGACGGACATTGAAAATTAGCCAGACAATGTATATCATACGGTATTTATTAACACCATAACACAGCGTGTTATTGTAAAAATCACAGTAGCATGTACGGATTAATGTCTTTTGTGAACATCAATAGACATTAATGTTCTATTAATGTCTATTGACATTAATAGAACATTAATGTCAATTAATGACATTAATGTTCTATTAATTAAATATTCCTTTAATTCTATTAATTAAATATTTCATTAATTAATTAAATATTAATGACATTAATAGAACATTAATGTCAATTAATGTTCTATTAATGGAGGAACGTAAACATGGAGGAAGGTAAACATCCTCCATGTTTACGTTTGCACACAACGCAGACGTAAACATGGAGGATTTACGTTTGCATTGTGTGCATGTGTCATGTACGCAAAGTACATTTTGATATATTTTAATTTTATTGACATTGAACATATGAATTAAATAAAAGTATAATGTAATTACCCCATCGGTTGGCAGAACCCCTCATAACACAGGTATTTACCATTATCGGTGTTCTTTTATGTATTTGATATCTATCTATATGCTCTTTTGCCGCACAAGATGGCGGACTACAGAACTATGGGAAGTAGCGGAAGAGCCACATGCGTCTCTGGAGCCCTGGTGTAGTGTATTATAATTTGGTTTGAAATACCATTTAGACTCCCATTTTACTAATTAACCATTTATGTAATTAAGGTGGGCGGAGAACACTATTTCTATTGGATAATGACATTGTAACAGAATTAATTAACTCAGTTACTTACTTGGTTTGGCGTTACCGAATGACCGACGTTAATACTGTAGTAACATTAATGAATTTACGTTTTACTCGCCAGCAACTTTATGCTTTACTTTAGCTACCTTAATGTTTCTGTGAATACAGTCGCCAATTAACAGCGCTCTTCGCAGCGGCTGGGTTATTGTGTGGGGAAAGCTACGGAAGCTACCGCTGTTCGACTAAAGCAGGCTGGCTAACTACTTCCGCTAACGTTTTGGGTTCGTAGGAGCGAAACTCAATTCACCCGGCCTTGCCTAAATGACAAACTAAACTCATTACAAGTACCATTACCTTTAAAAGAGGCAGCGGTTTGACGAAATCTGTGATAACGGACATATAACAACCACAGTAACAAAATTGAGAGAAACTGGAGTTTCAGAAGGAATTAAACATACGACACAGACGTCGGTATAACAGGAAATGACGCAATATGCTCCCGCAGGAAGCACAGCTACGGACTTGTAATTTCACACAAAATAAATTATATTTCTATACCTATAGTTGCTTATTTTCTAATTGAACTAAATTCCCTGATTAAATCTCTCTCTTTACTGAATAAAAAAAACACTTTTACTAACCATTTATAAAAGGTTTTTCCCTCATATCTGACAAGTGACTGACCACTGTTTGTGTTTGTTATTCTTGCAACTTATTTTTCTACAGCTTAATATACCTTTTACTCCTCATACATCCATATTTTTACTTTGTATTTACTTAAACACTTGTTTTTGTATTATATAATGCTGTACCATTACACACTAATTTTGTCTTTTTACGTTGCTTCAATGTGCTTTTGTAACAATGTACACCTTGATTGTTTTGTATACATAAATAGACTAAAAGTAAGACAAAATAGTAAAAGAACAAACCCCCCCAAAAAAAGCAGCACTTCTAAATAAGGATTGACAGAAATGTGCAAGATTCCACGGTCATAACCTCTGACCTGAAGCGTGAGTTCAGAGTGCTGGGGGATAGAGAGAAAATGGGGGAAAGGGGAGAGGAGGTGCATTGGGTGTTTGCAGAGTTCACATTGGTTACTAGATACAGCAAATCGTTTTCTTTCACGGGGTCTGTCTTTGAATTTATTCTTCAGCAGCACTGGCATTGAACACGAGCAGCCCTGTATTCAAAAAGAAAACAAACGAAGGATTGAATATATAAACATTTGGACTGCAACGTGTAGACAAAAGAAACGTAAGCCCTTTCATTGTGCGACAATAATAATCAACAAAGACAGGGTTTTACATTTGTTAGAGGTTTAGCCGGACACTTTTAAGGGTAAAAATTTTTTTGCTTTCAAAATTCATCAAGCAGGCCAGTTTTGGCCAACGCGGCATATGTTTGACACCCCTGGGATATTGTCACATTGTACAATAGGCTGAAAATGCTTGTGGAAATTTGCAGGGAAACGTTTACAAATGTCATGACTAAAATTTTGCCTTTAAGCAAATAGAAATGCTAAGCTTGGGTTTTTTTTTTTATACATGGGTTCCATTGAAGTGTGGACACTTGCTTGGAATGGTGAGTGAGTGAGTGAGAGAGAAAGACAGAGACAGCGAAAGAGTGAGTGGGAGAGAGAGAGAGAGAGAGAGAGAGAGTGAGTGAGAGAGGGGGGAGAAAGAGAGAAAGCTTTTGGTGTTAGTAGAAGTTTTTCAGGGGATTCAATCCAGTCATGGCCGGGTGCTCAGAGAAAGTTCCGCTTCCCTCAGCAGGACCAGAAGACCTGCAGAGCTTCATGCCTCCAGTAAGTTTTGTGTTGTACAATCAGCTCACAAACACTGCATGGACTTTCAACCATGTCACTGTCACTTACCTAAATGTTCTTTGGTACCACTTGAGATTCTTTATTCTTTAAAGTGTTAGTAAACGTATGTATTTTCAGAATAATGTAAATGTGCTCCTGTGACTCAATCTCTTAGGCTTATTCTGCTGTCGCGGTCAAACCTACCGCGACTGGGCGCCTTTTGAAGGCTGGCATCGCGGTTCTCGTCGCCGGAGCTCTGCTGCTCCTCCTGGGAGCCGTTGGCGCGTTTTACTTCTGGAATAACAATGAAAAACACGTAAGTTCAAACGATTGAATTGATTTTGGTCTAGAGTTTAGATGAATGAATACTCTTGGTAGCATTTTTCATGATTACAACGTGTAGAGAGACTTGGTTGGCCGTTCTCGGCAACGGCAATATAAGATAACGGAGAACAAACAGAAATGCAATTTGACAAAGCGAATTCGTTTTTTTTGGTTTGTAGATATTTCACAGAAATGGCATTGTAATAAGAATTGTAATATTTTTTGTAACATATAGTCCTCCGCTCACG